AAAATATAGTTAGAAATTAGTAGAGAAAAATTTATAAATAAATAATTACAAAAATATCATTGAGATTTTTTAGGGTTGTCCAACGTTTCTTTCTTTTATATATAAGATAATCAAAATTGGTAAATAGTAAAATTGAAAAATAATACGATTAATATTTCGTTAGAATGATTAATATTTCGTTAGAATTGTAAATTAACAAATAATATTATGAAATATACGGGGTATCAAATATTGATTTATTCAGTATTTAAATATTGAATTATTCACCAGCTCTAGAATCTGCCAAGCTATAACCTATGATTCTACATCCCTAATAAAACTAGTTAACTATTCATTACGTGAGAAATGTGGTAATAAAGTTGAACACCTTTTGGCCGAACATCCAATTTGCAATACAAAAATATTATTACTTTGTTTATTTAATGGCAAAAAAGGTCATACTAGGTTATTTTTTAATTGGCTTGATTGGTATTTACATTATACTAGACTAGTACTTTTGCAATTAATAATCTCTTAGTAGTAGTGTAGTTCATAAATGATGAAGTTGATGTAAATATAAAAAAAATAACAAAAGAAATTGATTTAATTTAGTGATTCAACCACAATAAGCTAACTGTGTATGATTAATTCGACTATCAACTGTTGACAAGTAGATTCGAATTTGGCACGTATATACGTTATTACTTATTAGTGCTACAATGATTGGAGATGGATAAATAATTTCATATTTTTTTGTAAATGAACAACGAAACCACAAAAGTAACTTTCAAAATTCAACCAAGAAATAGACCATTTTAGATAATATTGAAAGTATATAACAAAAATAAATATTCGGTGGATATTACTATTATCACAATAAACTTGTAATTCATGATTTCAGAAAAGAAAAAAATTCAAGTGCACATTGTAAATGATGCACATAGTCCAAAAGGTACTCATGATATCAATAAAATTGTTTTAATTAATTTTGTTATACCCCAATAATCCAACTACAAAATTCAACTCTCATAACTCATAAAATTAATCTTGATTATACTTTTGACAACCAAACGAGCATATGAAAAAAAAAAGAAAAGGGGAGAAATATCTTCTTCCACTATGTATAGATATTTTCACAAAGTACTCTATGTCAATCTACATTAAATTACAAAGTTCATCTAATATTGGAGTTATTTTCATTTTATTTGGAAAAAAATATGTTTTGAGGAAATAGTTTAAAAATTAAAGTAATGTTTGTTTATTTTTTGAAATGCGACAAAATACATTGTAACAGATAAATTATATTTGAATCTGTTGGAAAATATAATGAAAAATAAAGTAGTGTATTTATTTTCTTAGTGAAATATTTTTTTATTGGACCAGTCAAATCAAATCTACATAAAAAGAATATAAGCTTTTAAAATTTTTAACAAACATAAATTCATTTGCGAGAGAAAAAAAAAAAAAGATGAAAACCGACCAAACTTTATTTTTCTTGCTTTCATATCTAAAACGTTAATTTTGCATGGTTTCTTGGTGGCTGATTTAAGTAATTTGTAAGCTAAGTCAGAGAAGTTTATATTTTGTTCAATTTATTTATTCTTGCTATTATTATTTATTAATGTAATAATTAATCGTTGGACCAAATTTCAACGGAACAATTACTACTATGACGACTTGGTGTTGGATAACGGATGGTGAGAGATTAATATTTATTTGTTTATTTATTAAAAAAATACATATGCTAG